CTCATACATCGGGAATACAGGCTCTCGGAGGACTTGGCGCAAGGCTGTGACTCGGGGTGCCACTCCAGGTCGTGTGACTCGGACTTCGAGCCCGACGACTCGTGTCCCGGACTCTACCTGGATGACCCAAGCGGACTGACCCACGAGCTGCTTTCGGAGGACCTGGACTCGTACTGCCCCACCTCCAAACCTCCGTGCGTGGACTGCGGCTCCTACCACTCGGACTTCAAGTGCGGAGAGGGCAAGTCCTTCGTCAGCACGAGAAAGGCCTACCTGAGCGAGCTTAGCCACTACAAGAACGACCTGCGGGCCTGCGAGTCTCCGAAGAGCGAGCGCAGCTGCGTCACGCCCGACTCGCCCTCGCTGAGCATGCGCGTCAACATCGCGTCGCCGCTGAGGAGCAGCAAGATGTCGCTGGCCACGGTGGTGGACGGCAGCAACCCCGCCTACGACCGCGACCACGTGGAGGAGATGGTGGACGGCGTGGACCGCATGGAGCTGGAGTGCACGTGTCAGGTCGAGGAGTGCATAGTGAGCTGTAAGCATGACGACGGAAGCAGGACGGACATCGTGCACATCACGGAGAGCGTGGAGGGCGGGTGCCGGTGCGAGGGCCACCTGACGGCCGTCGGGGAGCCGGACGACGAAGGCACATCGGCCGCGGTCTAGCTGCCGGAGCCCGCCCGGCCTCCTCGATATGCAAACTCACATATCAGATTTTCTCCCTCAGTGGATTTACCACTTTTGTAAAAAAAGAAAAAAAGAAAAAAAAGACAAGTTACATTCCCGAACCGTTATCATCGTTGGCTTTATATGGATGAAATATCCTTTGGAAGGACATAATGCTTATTTTTTATATCTGCTCTATGCAAGTGTTGCTTCCTCCACTGACACTGCAAGCTGCAAGAGTTGTTGCCTACGGAAAGACCACTGCAATGTTGCAAGAGTTTATGACTTATATTCTGTTCAATATTTTTCTTGTTTTGCAATATTTGAATTTAGGTTAAATATGCATGTTTATATATTTATTTTGCCTATTTGTTATATTATGATTTCATTTTCATTTACCCCTTTCACCCGAGATCTTAATTTTGCACAGTATTTGTTTTTCTTTTAAGTCCCTCACACTTTACGATTCCATACCTGTTACTGAGACGAACCTTCTTTTCCTTTTGTTCGGTTGGCAGACTCCTCCCCCGAAGTGCGCCTCGTGCTCTCCGCCAGCAGTCGTCGGCGATGTACTGAGGCAGTCGAGATGATGGGCTCCACGTCACTGTCCCAAGCGCCTCGTCTTGCTCCCTGGCTTCCTCTTCGTTCATCTATTTAACTAGTTTTTAAAATATATATATATAGTCCATGATTTATTTTATATATTTTTTCGAGAAGCTTAGTTCATACATTATTTAGTTGTATGTGTTTTCGTCTGCGCATGGTTTAGTTCCACTCGTTTTATACCCTTATATCATTTTCCGAACTTTGTATTTCAAACTTGGAACTCTCTGGACCGGCGTTCAACCGAAGCACAGAACTGCAACACGTCTAGCTTCCTGCGCTGCGTACTCCGTCAAACGAAGTACAAGAACCCAAGAAGACAGTAGGAAAGAAGAAAAAGTTGACGCCACTCCAGGAGTTCTAAGACGAGTGATGGGACACTGGATGGTGACCCTGCCTAGCTGTGATAGAACTGTAGTCTTGGATGAAAAACAGTATCTTGGTAACAGATACTAACAGAGGTGACTGTGTTATGCTTTGATAAGCTCCCAGGGCCCAGCAAAGTGCCTGATTACCGACTTTCCTGTGAGGTGGAATGAAACAGAATAGCAAGCTTTATGGTGTTTTAGGTTGTGGACTCAGGAACGTGCGATACGAAGGAGAAAATTCATGGGACTTCAATTACTGAACCTGAAAAGGAAACTAAGGCAATATTCAAGCAGTATCTTGGTCTCGAATCATTAGATTGAACTAGTAATAGCAAAGGTTCTTAACAGTGATAAAAAAAGGTGTGACAACGTTAACAAAATCACACCAAACCATGAGTCAGTATTTCCATGAGAGGAAGAGGCATGTATCTACAAAACTGGATTAGTTCTGTGAGAAAAGTCATGGCTGTTATATAGGTTTCTGCCAAATGTAGATTTTGTTTTCGGTTACTTTCATTTATAAAGTATAATCTACATATTAAATATCTTATATGTTATATATGTATAGGATATTGTTAGACTGTGTAATTTTGAGAGGCTGCTAATTCCGTAAAGTGGACATACCATTGTTGCTTTGGTTTCTGCTGTTTTGAATGATCAGAACATTCTCATTAGTATATAATCTGTAAAATGCATCGTATTCTATGCTGATCATTACCAGTGCATTGATGAAGCATTCAGAGAATTGCAGAATCACGACACGCTAATTCACCTTCGTGTTACTACTCTTTCTGCACCTTATTATGTCAGTATTTTATTGCAAATATTCAATTTTCAAGCCGTGTGACCCTCTGTGGACTACGGAATCAGATTTATCGCAGTATTTCATTCACAACAGTCTATGTACAATGTGATCGTAAGGGTTTCCTTTCCTCACTGACTTGCTGGTCGTTTGTCGTCTGGCTAAGCTGAGGCTAAGACTCCAGAACTGTTACAAAGGTAAACAACATCCCTCCTCCATGACATATCGGGTGCCAATCGTCTGTGCTCACCGAGTGTGCGGTTCATCGATTACACAGAAACTTTTGTAACAACGTTTAACACTCTTCATGTCAAAGTGTAAGATGCTAATATTCTATCAGTATTACTTTATTAGGATGTGCGTAGTAGTGTTTTGAGGGTGTAGTGCCACGTGCGGGCGTGAATGAATTAATATCTCATTTCATTTCATTGAACTTGCTTGCAGCTGCACTCCACGCCGAAGTGTAAACGAGTGTTCAAATTACCAGTTGATTTCTGTGATTGGTTTCCCTTTAGATAACATTTCCAATTTAATTTGTGACTGAAGAATATGGTTGATAGCATACTACAAATTCTTTAATTAAAAGTTCGATTTTCCTCGGAAATGTTACAGAATACGATTTGGAATGACATAGCAATGCAGTTCAGCCTACGGCCTACACAAGCGAGCAATTCTGCAGTTAGAGAATAATTATGTGTTACTGCGTTCAAGCTGCCATTTCTAGCGGAAGAATCAACCAGATAGCCAAACTGGAAGTAAATGCTGCAACACGGTCATTGGAGTCGAGCAGGAACTGGTTTCTTAATTAGTTCTCAAAAGACGCAGTTGGAACTTACATAGGGCCATAGCCATGCAGTCGTTGGAGCGTTGTCCCGGCTCGTTTTTTTCCCTCACAATGTGCTTAAACTTGCCGCACGTTGATGAAGGGATATTTTCACTTCTTTTCCTTTGATTTCGTGGGATTATTTATTTATTTATTTATTTCTTCGTATTCCAAGTTGCAAGGCCAGGAAACGATTACTTCACACTCTTTGGTGAAGCTTTAATTTTTTTCTTTTGGCGAGATATTTCAATATTCTAATGTTTTGTTAAGAATTCCTAGTCAGCATGTCAGGAAATGTTTACTTCACTCTCTCTGTGAAGCGTTAATTTATTTCTTTTGGCAGATTATATTACCTTTTTTTCTTTAGCATCGATCGTCATTTCGTTGAATTGTGGGACATGGGACTGCTACATAGGCATGGCTTTGTATGCACACTTGGTTGTTTTATCGTAAATTATCTGTACTAGCTCCTAAAATCCTAAGAGAAGGTAGATTTTCTGTAGTTGTATTGGTAGCTAAACTTAGCTTGACGTTCGATTAAGCTTTTTATTTCCAAAGGACTTTAAAATCAACTAATTTAATTGCGATTAACTATGCAGACTAGTTTGATGATTGTGAATGAAGTCATCCCGAAATTACCGTTTTTTGCGAATGATGTCAAAGTAAATGTTGCCAACTTTTTGCTAGTACGAAGCAAGTTGAAAATGAGAAGAGCGAATTTATGAATTGAATTTAACTTTCAAATCTTCCTTATTAACCATAAGAGCTTTTGTATGACAAGTGCAGAAAAGTGACAAAATGCATTATTGGCACATTATTCATCAGTTTTACATAAAAAACAACTATATTCAAATAAAGAGTAACCTAGTTAGGCCTATAGCGACCTTGCGGTTGAGGTTTCTACAGCGACGGAGAGCAAGCGGTCCTTCAGCACTGCTATAGCTAGGCTAAAGTATTTTCGCCTCTTACAGTACGGCTACTGCTATTGCTACGCTAGCCTTACCCAGCGGCCAAAGCACGGTCCAGCGAGAAGAGCATGAAGGCACTTTATAGCTGCTTGCAAATAGGTTCCGCCCTACAATACCGGACCAATTTCATTTGACTCGGTTGTTTATATATTTTCTCATAGAGTACCAGAGAAGAGCGAGTTCTTTATATACATATATATATAAATAAATATAGATGCGTATTCAAAAAAAGTCCACCGGATATGTTCTAAATATTACTTATCATGTATGAATCATTTTCATAAGAAATTAAATTTATCTATGGATAATTTTTATTCTCTAAAGCAAGCATGTCCCATAATGGTAAGACTCAGAGCATGTTTGCAAATCTAATGAATTTCTTTGCACATACAAAATGTCTATTGGCAGAACAGCCTTCAAAAGGCACCTCAGATCAAGCCAAAAGGTAATAATTTCCAGCTTATTACAACAAAGGATAAGAAAATCAGCATTACGAGTTAATGACAGTTGCCATTATATGTGAACCAAATTGCCTAAAAATCAGAAAAGATCAGATTTTATCATTTACCGCAAGCAATAAGCGACTCTGGGCGCTACATCTGAAACACGAGTGGTACAACCACTGTCACTTATTTGTATATATATCAGAGTACATAGATCATGGTGTATTACTTCACATTTTTTTATATTTTGACGGCAGAAATGTAGCAATCTGGATTAGTATGCTGCGGTGATGTTACAGATTTTATAATAAAACTGTACTTTCG